ATATTATTGATATAATGCAAATGAAAGATTGATGGTTTTTTTGCGAGTTGTTGTTGTGAAGATGAAACAATCTGACTAAGGCTGATCGCTGACATGCCAATCTCCCTTCTCTCTCCTCCACCTTTCCGCCACTTCATCCGGGGAAAAGATGCGATCAGGGCAAATTAACGCCGGAGATTCAAGCTCGAGATCTTCCTCGTTTGAAAAGACCCCTCGAGGAGACCAGGACTATGCGTTGGAGATCCTGGACCCCGATGATGACTCTGGCAGCAGCCAGTTCGTGACGGTCCCCCGTGGCAGCGCCGACTCCGCCAGACACGAGCAGGAATATAGCAGCGAACCTCTGCTGCCCACGTCTGTCCCGCATCCTCAGCCCGAGCATAAAAGAGCAGATCGCTTCTCTTGTACTATCCCGGGGATTATTGCGTGGATCAAGGGGCCATTGCCGCCTCACAAGTACCACATAACCCCGTTACTCCGTCGCTGGCAAACTGCCCCAGAGCGTCTAATCGAGAGACGCTTCCCCAGCAAAAGATTCAAAATATGCCTTCTTTTGGCTTCTTTGGTCCTCTGGGGGATTGTGTTTATCTCGGTTTTGCATTCTTCTGTCTCTAGCCAGGTAGTCCCAGGATTTGGAAAGCCGGTCAAGCTTTCATGTCAAAGTAGACTCTGGGATGATTCTTCTGAATGTGGACTCAATGGAGATGCTTGCCGTCCGTTTGACAAGGAAGCATTCGCCTTTAGTTGTCCTGCGGGCTGCTCGGCAGCCATGGTTCTGGAGCCATATACCGTGGGCCCCCAGGAAGTCAATTACCGGAATCTGGTTGTCGGAGGTGATTCTGGTATCTATCGCGGTGATTCTTTTATTTGTCCTGCAGCATTGCATGCTGGAGTCATCGCTGACCAAAAAGGCGGCTGCGGTATCCTCCGTCGTACGGGCGAGAAGAGCAAATTTGCTTCCGTTGATAAGAATGGGATCTCTAGCATTGATTATCCGTCCAATTTCCCGCTCAGTTTCACCTTTGGTGGAGGTCAATCAGATGAACAGGACATCCAGTGCAGTCAGGATCTCCGATGGCCCTTGTTCGCCCTTGCAGTGGCTGTGACGACAATGTTATCCCTTTCCATCGCCTCCCCCGCAGCATTCTACGCCTCCATCTTCTTCATCTCCTATTTCCAAGTTGCTCTATCTTCTGACCCCCCAGAGAACCCGGATTATTATGAAGTCGTCTCTACGGGACTGGGCCGATTTCTTCCCACCGCATTTGTCGGGTTCGCCATATATTATTTCTGTGTTAGGCATACACTAAAGGACCTCGATGCCCACTGGGACAAGACGGTTTTGTGGCTTGGTCCCTTCTGGGTTGGGGCTTTAAACACAGACACATTCGACAAAATCCCAATCTCGCGTCTCACTCCACATGATATTCAACAGCAGCCAGGCGCCATCCCCGCCCTGATAATCATCGTCAGTCTCCTCGTTCTCATCGTGATCACCCAAGCCCTCGCGTTCAGAAATGAAGGTCGACTGCCCAAAATGCTGGCTATCTATGGAACCATGGTTGGTGGTATTGTGGCCCTGGTTCTCGTACCAAACATGAACTTGCGAATCCACCATTATATCCTTGCCCTCCTCTTTCTACCCGGGACAACGATGCAAACCAGACCTTGTTTGCTTTATCAAGGCCTTTTGGTTGGCCTGTTCGTCAATGGTATCGCACGATGGGGCTATGATAGCATCCTCCAAACCCCAGGTTCCCTGCTCAATGGTGCTCAACTGGGAAGTGCCCTCCCGGAAATCGCAGCTCCTCTCATTCCCTCCAGCCAGGATATTATCTTTTCATTCCCCGATATAGAAGAAGCTGCCGGTATCAGTGTGCTTGTTAATGATGTTGAGCGCTTCCGCTCCTTCACATCGGACGATGGTACAGTTGATACATTCAACTGGACTCGTCATAAAGAGGATGATCCTGAGTATTTCCGTTTTGCATATATTCAGTTGAACGCGCTGGGTGGGTTTTGGTATGAAGATTTCTCCCCGCCGGTTACTTGGGATGTAAATGGAGGTTGGAACCAGACAAAATCTGGTTGACGTTATCATGTCTTTGTGCCATATTGGGTTTATTTCCTTGGATATATTTGAATCACCTGTTGGAAACATTTTGCATATATATATTATCTTGTGTCAATAGAAATAGACCCTCAGGTCTAACGCTTGATTTTTGAATACACCTGAGTAATGAAAACGCCATAACAACTACGTAATCGACACTCCAGGTTTATGTACCTATAGCCAAGCCCAACCCAACTCCGAACCTGCAGAGAAAACATATTGCTTTTGAGCTCGAGCCGTATGTGTACCGAAATTCGTCACATTTACTTGTGACTTTTTGGGGCTTCACTTTTCACTTGGACGACGGTCTGCTTGCCGCCATCTTCAACCACCAATGCCGTAAGATATTGGCCTTTGATGCAGCCGGTGTCAAGGCCCTTGGTATACGCGTCGAGAGAAAGAGACCTCTTGGAATCGTGGCCATATATGACGGTGGTCATCTTCGATTGCGCGTCTGATGTGGTCTTCTCCAGACTGGCATACAGCTCAGTTTGGTATTTATTGAACAACTTGAAACTGTCAGCAAATTTCGACATTAGCGATTCTTCAAAGCACAAGTAGGATCTACCTTTGTCCAGTTCGTGCCCTCCCGCTTGGAACTCGGGACAAGAGTCTCCATATCGATGGTCAGCATGTTCATGACGTTCTCTGGATCTTGTTTCTCCAGCTCAACGCCCGGCACCAATCCTCCATGAACCACAACTACCTCACCCATACCACTAACTTGGCCAACCCTCAGAATAACCGGGCAAGAGTCAAGCCATTTCACCTGTTCGTCGGTGAACTGTCGCGCGAGCCGACGCTCACGAGAGTCGTCCTCGGACGCATCGGCTAGAGTATTGGAGGCGGCCATTTCATGGCGCAAAGCGAGGACTTTATCCTCGTGGTTTCCGCGGACGCATGATGCGGAATATTTCCGAGCAAGATCAACGACACCTAGACTGTCGGGGCCTTTGTTGATCATATCGCCAGCGAGGATGAGATGGTCGCGCTCAGGGTTGAATGTAACTTTTTCGAGAAGTTTCTCCACTGTTTCACACACAAGTTAGATGAATACAGACTGCTGTTTCAGAATGCATGGTAACCTACACTCATATTTGCATCCATGGACGTCCCCCACGAAGACCAATCGCCTGCTACTCGGCTCGTCCGCGGCTGGTGCTATATGAGCCGGCAACAAAGACGGATCCAGCGTCTTCAAACGAATCAACCTGTCGGATTTTGACATGGCGTTCGTTCCAAACCAGCCCCCCGCTACGTTCTTCGACTGCGCAGAGAGGGATGCACTTTCCCCGAGACGAGGGGACAGTACAAGCCTCCAACCAATCCAGGCAGTCACCAGCAGAAAAACCAAGGCGACCAAATAGCGCCGAAAATATGAAGCAGAGACCAGGGAGTAAAGCATGTGCACCCATCGTGGGGATGCAGAGGTAGTCATTGACGTGTTGGTGTGGACGAATTGAGCCTTGTTCTGCCACTCATCCCGCACGTAGTTGATTAGAGGACGGGTGTACTCGTATATCCCCATCTTGTTGTTTGAATGGTAGAAGCCATTATCCGCACTGGTTTCGGAGTGGTCGATGTTGATGTTGTAGTCGTTGTTGCGGTCAGAGTAGGCCGCCATGTCGTACGTAGACAGTCGTAGCCCCTCCAGTGATTTTTTTTTTCTCTTATCCCTGCAAGGGCCTGCAGAGACGAGATCTTAGCTTCGGTTGAAATGGTGACCAGTCAATTATTAAACGATGCAGTTTAGAGCAGTTAAGACTAGCGGCAGAGCTTGTGTGCGACAAGCTCCCTGATGCACGCAGAACTCGACATGTGACGGAGTGCCGCATCCAGCCAGGCTGACATGATTATTTTCCGCCACCAACTGAAGGTAGGCAATACAGCAGCGTTACCGGGTTGATTATTACATGCGTATTGCGTACTCGATATGTTCGGTAATAAGATGTTTCATGGCTTCATTGATTCTTTCTTTTCCTTTTATACAACATAGATAGTTTTCCAGTATACTAAACTCCCGAGGACAGTCATTATCGGTAACGTTCGTAGAACTCGATCTCTTCCATCCGCTGCTTAACCGTCTGTATGGTCTTCTCGTCGTATAACTCTTCCACCTTCTTTCCACCCCGGAGAACTTCCTTTTCGTGTCGAGTAGCTTCCTCCTTGGTCATGCAGACAAGGTCTTTCATCTCAAGTGGGATGAACTTTTGCCCCTCCTTTTCCCATTGAGGGTCGGGTCCAAACCCTCGTGCCGGTCGTTCCCAGGAGATCAACAGCAAACGGTTGGGAAGGCCGCTGACAACACTCTTTCCTCTCCAGATATCGTCGACGAGATATCCAACATCATCCTTGCTGATCGGGAGACGAAGTCCGACCAGGTCTTTGCCGACTTCACTCCGGGCCAAGCGCTCATATAGACCCTGCATGCCCGCGATGATTGTATCGTACAGCTTGTCTCTGCCCTTTCCACCAATGCTGTAGTCATTGGGGTAGCCCGAAACATCGCAGATAACGTGGTTTGCGACTGTGTATCCGAAGACAGCAGGCATGGTTCCGAGCACAGGGAGAATGCGGGCACGGAAGTCAGGCAGAACACTCAGCTCTCCAATCTGACCCTTTGAGAACTCCTCCTCGGCGAGCGGGAGGAGGCTCGCTTTTCCAGGAGCAGGTTTCTCGGTTGAGAAAACCACCGGGATGCCGGAAGTAACTCCCAGGATCTTCAAGCGGCGTCGGGTGCTGCGCGAGAGACGGTCATCCGTGCTGAGTGAAATATCGCCAACCACGACACGTGTAGGGTCAGACTTGCATCCTGCTCCCATGGACGAGATCACAGGAATGGAGTGAGAGTGACAGTAATGCAGCAACTCAACCTTTGAGGTAATGTTGTCGATGCAATCAAGCACGTAATCCGGCTTCTGTCCTGCATCACTGCCCATGGACCAGGGTGCTAGTAGTTCATCAGCGACCGATCCGCCGAACAGTTGGTTCCGACAGTCGAATTGGACCCATGGTGTGATCTGTTCCAATCTCTTTCGGATGCAGTGCACTTTCGGTGTTCCAACATCTGCCAGAGTGGCAACAGCGTGTCTGTTCAGCGAAGACAATGTGGCTTGGTCAAAGTCGATAAGTCGGATCTTGGAGACTCCGGACCGGGCAAGAGTAGTTGCAGCGTGCGATCCAACACCACCACATCCTACAACAATTATGAAAGATGACCGGAGTTTCGCAAGACCTTCGTCGGTGAGGAACACACGATTGCGGGCGAGTTGTTCGAGGATAAGTTCTATATAGTAATTAAAACGTCATTAGCAAGATCCAGGCTAGAGATTGCAATAAAGCCTTACCATCATCGTAGTCACCCTGCTGAGCCCGACGCGCAAGTGCTGCACTGCGCTCATCTTCCTTGCTCATGGGCGGTGCTGGGGCGCCATATTCCGTGAGCTTCATTTTACCGATTAGCCTCTCTTGAACTATGCGAGACAATCGTACGCAAGCTGATCAAGAATAACAAACCTTTTCCGCATGATGCTTATCATTGATATCTGGAATCGAAGCTTTGAGGTTCTCTACAGCTTCTCTCCGTCTATAAGCCTGGTAACCAAGTATAGCGCCTGCGACAGCGGCTCCCGAAATCACCGCGGTAGCAGCAAGCTGCGACTGGTGGGATCCAGCGTGATGCTGGATAAAGGAGGACATTCTTCGGATATCACCCCTTTCTTTGTATTCGTTTCCCTCTTCTGTTGCGTTTCTCGATTCGGTACAAAATTGCGACGGCGCTTTCGATCAAGTCCGGGATATCTAAAACGGCATCAGAACCAGGTTATCCCGAGGCAAGGTCCGGAATTATGTGCTTTAATAGCACATCTCTGGAAGAAGCTGTACTTACCATCTTCAATTCCGAAATCTCCTGGGCACTTTACGAGTAGTTCGATGTCTTGTACCGCATGAAACTCGAATAAAGTGGAACCACGATAGCTGCTGCCAGATCACGTGCTCTGCTGATGTTTTTGCCGTCATTATTTCCGCCGCCGCGAAGCATCCCCAGTAACCAAAACCAAGGAGGGCATTATTCTCACCCTGGAAGACAACACAGGTACGTTGGCATTCTGAATATGCCCTCGGTAGCATGATCATAGACTAACTGCAATTCAGAACTGAGAAGACCGCTTTTCCTAGTCTCGATGACGATAATCAATCACAACGAGCTTCTCATGACACCCTGAATTCAAGCTAATTCAGGCAATGGACTTCATCCCTCGGGGGTCTTGGGACTTCCGAGTGGAAGAAGACATTATAGCCGAGGTGTGGGTGATTGAGAAATAGAACAGAGATCTTAGGGACTAGCAAATGTTGGATGCTTTTCATCTGTTCTGGTGTTGTCTCTCCTTTTTTATTATTTATGGGGACGATCAATGCGTGATATCCAAGGGCAGAATCTATCTTATTAGATTTACTCACTAACCTTTAACACACTGACTGGTTTAGTCCTACTGATTACAGATACTTCAACATAACACATGAATGCATTCCCTCATGGCGAGGCCATAACCTACTTGCTCAGTCTATTCGAAGCAACAGCAAAGTACTCACCACAACAGAAATCCTCTGACAGGATATGAAATGACATGATGAATGATTAACATGACGCTCAATCACCAACGGCATAGCTAACCAAGTCTACTTCCATTGTAACATCATAACATACCGCTATACATTATATCTTTCATTTTTCTTTCCTTCCTCTTTCTTGTCCATCGTTTTTGTTATTTACTTCATCGCCCGATGACGAGTGTTTATCACCAAAAGCCAAAGTTGAACGGTATCCGGCCGATTTCGTGTTCAGACACGGAATTGAAATATACGGGCCTGGAAATCAATGAGAACCTGAGAGCTAATCCGAGGGCATTTCTATAAAATTTTGTTATTATTCCAATGAAATCGATTTTGTAGCTTCCACAAGATACAATGGCTAGAGAGGAGTATGTGACAAACAAGGTATTTCCAAAGCATAGAATATAGGCATATTGGTGGAAGGTATAGGATATAAAACAACGCCTAAAATGCAACACTCGAATCATTTTCGCTTCATAAAGCACAAGATACATATTAACAAATTTCATCTCCTGCGCAGCTCATTACAAAAATCTGCCGACTGCTCCACCGATGTTCTTCAAGTCCAAAAGGAATGTGTCGTGTCCGAACATCGAGACATCCTCGCCAAGTTCAATATGTTCAACGCCCTTGTTACCAACAGCCCGTATGGTTGCGGCAATCTCACGCTGCTGCCAGGCAGGGAAGAGAATGTCGCTAGCAACACCCAGCACCAAAACAGGGTGGTTCTTGAGCGGAGAAAGTCCGGCAACAAGATCCTGGGGTGGTGCTTCTGGGCCAGCTTCTCCACCTGATACGGATTGCTCCGTTGATGGGGTAGAGACGGTCGCCGAGGGCTGTTCTTGGTATGGCTTTTCGGGCAAGGTCAGACTGCAGGCGACGTCGTCGTGATCCACGGTCTGGCCTCCCTGAGCGATTCTGGCTTCAAATTCTGCCCTGCGTCTCTTGGTCTCTGTTTGATGGGAGTGGCCGAGATCAAAGAGATCCATTGCCTTGGACACGTAGAGTAAACTGTTAGGGTCATATTCCAGACAGAACTTCTCTCCTGCATGGTCCAGATAGGTCTCGATAAGGAAGTCGGCGCAAAGGGCAGGCTGCTTGCTTGGGTCCGCACGCTTGCGCCCAAACCGCATCTCCCACTCCGGTCCACTTCTATAGGTGACAGTAGCGATCTCTCGAGCCAACTTCATTCCAGAGTGCGGCGGGATGGAGTCATAGTAGAAGCCTCGGGACCATTTAGGATCCATCATCAGGACTTGACGCTGAGTATGTCTCATGGCGATACTGTACGGGTGACTACGGGCACATCCACTGATACTGACGATCTTGCCAACTCTCTCAGGGAACAAGACACCAGCCGCAAGACTCTGCATGCCTCCCATACTCGATCCAACCGACGCATGCAATTTCTGCACACCAAGGTGATCCAAGAGACGAAACTGTGCCCGCACCATGTCGTCAAGAGTCAGAATCGGGAATCGGGTCGCGTATCTCTTTCCGTCTGAAGGGTCAACAGACGAGGGCCCGGTACTTCCGTAACAGCCTCCAAGAACGTTCGTGCAAATCACAAAGTATTTGTTTGTATCCAATGGTAGACCGGGTCCGATGAACTTCTCCCACCAGCCGGGTTTCGGGTTTGCCTCGGTGCTGTGGGCATGACTCGAAGCGGAGAGACCGGTGTGCAGGAGGATAGCATTGCTCTTATCAGCGTTCAGTTGACCCCAAGTTTCATATGCGACATCGAATTCCGGCAGAACACCACCCCAGTCGAGCAACAATGGCTCCTGGCAGTGGAATCGCTCATGGTGGCCGGTGGTGTAGGAGGGCTCGGGGCCCGACTCGAGAGAGCGAGCGGAGAGAAGCGCCGACTTTGCTTCCTGGGCGTCGAGACAGGGGAATGAAAGAGCGGGATTGGAAGAGTCTTTCTCTGCAGTAGCAGACTGCGATTTGCGAGCCGGGGCAGTGTGCAATGCTTTACTCCTCACAGACGATGATATAATCGGAAACCGATTTCTTGCGGCAAAGCTCGAGACAGCGTCGCTCTGCCTCAATAGCCCCGTAGCTTTCCAGCTCCGGGATGCTGAACGAGCTGCACCTTGAAGAGAGCTCATTGCGATAATTGTCGTGGGAGGAAATTCAGGGAGCTCGAGAGTCGAGGATGACTGTCCCGCGGAGTCGATATTTAATTGGGGATGCGGAAATGTAGGCGGAGAACTACTTCAGGTAAGATCCCGCCGATGCTCATGGCGTCATCTAATTGTTTTTTGATTGGTCGGTGGGCTCTGCTTATGTAATTTACAAGTATTCTGCATGAATTGGTGACTCTTCTTGAGAGAACGATGGATTGCAGATATTATTTAATTGCTGTATAGCTATCTAGTGGTTTATGAAAAACAAATTCAACACAAGAGAAAAAACCATGGCGGGGACATAGCATAGATGTCAAAAACTCGCTAATGTGATGGTCGAATTGAGGTTAATGTTGATTGCTGCCGCATACATGCATCGGAAGATAAGATCGCAATTTGCGTGAAAAACCATCCTCGTCCCATCATGGGAGACCGTGGCGCCCCCGGGAGACTCCAGGCCAAAATCTCCTGTTCTCAGCAAAGGTCTGTCGGCCCTTTTGTATGGGCCTTTGAGTGATGTCGAGTGGGCATATTTGACATTGTACCCAGGGGAAGTAAAACAATGCGAGGAGAAAAACAGATAGTAGATTCCTTGCTCGGCTCGAATGATATTCGGGGCTTCCACCAGAGGGCCGTCGCTCTCATCAATGTCGAGGATTTGGACAGGGTCACCGACTGGAGTAACTCCGTCATTTTCGAGCTCTTGGAGCATGATTGGAACTGAGACTAATGGTTTTTTAGCATTGTTACAGTCCCCTCCATGCCCAACGCTGTTGCCATCAGCCTTGTAGGAGACATAGAACTTTCCATCTGCATCCCTGAAGGGCGACGGATCAATGGCGCCACCATATTCCATTGGGCAGGCCAGCGGTTTCTTTTCTGGGGTATAGGGTCCTATAGGGCTTGTTCCCTCTGAGACTGCAACACCCACGCAGTGATGCGGCTGATGAATCTTCGATTCTCCGGAGTAATATAAAACGAACTTCCCATCATCCTGCGGGTATATTGTTAGGTTTACACATTCCCCTCATGGGAACTTTAACATACCCGTTGAATCACATCTGGAGCCCAGTGATGGGGGTTAATTTCCCAATCGCCCACTTCGGGTAGGAGGTCATGGCCGACCAATATTGACCAGTTCTGGAAATTGTCGGACGTGGCCACGGGGACATGCACCTTATTCGTGGTGCTCTTCTTTGCATTTGTCCCAAAAGCAAACCATGTTCCATTAAACTCAAGAAGCCCAGGGTCTGGGAAGTTATCAACGACCCGAAGCGGATGATTCTCTTTGACGTGATAGCTAGGGTGATCGGGTGGGTGTCGTCGCAGCAAGACGACTGGAAGAGTGATGATGAGAACAAGAGCTGCCAGTCCTAGAAATGCGATCCCTAGCCATAGTATGATCTTTCTTCTGGTCCATCGTTTCGGTGGTTGCTCTCTAGGTTGGTATTCCGAGCCCGATAGTACCCCTTGTTCGAAGTATCAGTGACTTGACTGCTTAGGGACGTCGGATTCACCAACTCAGGAGATGAGGCATTGTTGACCTCGATACCAGGCATAATCTGCCCTTCATTTGTCTAATGCGATGTCACTGTGACGGACTGTTGCTAATGCCGTGTTCTACCAGAGATAGTGGTGTGGTTTAGTGCCATTGCATGTCTGAACAGCCGATTAACACTGAACAAGATCATTTTACCATAAAAAAAAATAAAATAAAATAATCATTTATAGCCAGCAAACATACCTGCGATATCTTGTCGACGCAGGATGGAGTCAGTAATGAGGACATCAAAGGTTCAAATGCGCAGCATGACGATAAAATAGGGTTTATCGCTCCAGACAGAACTGGATGCTCATCTCCTTTAAATGATAGAGGCTATTGCACACGATAGATTGATCAACAGTCTAAACACGCATTCAACTCCAAAAAGAGCAAATGAGATGAGAGTTGGCGTTCGCTGTCAACAGTCAAGCTAGGCTTGAGGCTTTTGCTCAGAGTTTTGGTTTCAAAGGTCCAAGGGCTCAGGTTGAACCGCAGACTAGAGTGGACATGGCAGAGAACGGGAAGTTATGAGAGTTAGTAAATCGACAGAGAGGGAGATATTGCAGAAGATAAATGTGGGTTGGCAAAAAAGTGCCTGTAAAGTTGAGGCAAAGAGATGGAAAGGAAAGGAGGAGAAGGGAAGAGATGGTGTGTTGCTTGAGCTTATCACAATCATGGCCAACACTGGAACACTGTTCCTGAATGCAACATGAAAATGGCACTGTCACTCACTCGGTGCCTGGATGGACTCTTTGACAACAGATGAACCATAGTACAGCTCTTCTTCTGAGGCCCTTTTTACTCTTTTCTGCGAGTCGTGATGTCAAAATCGACAGTTCTTGGTGTCTCTTCACAGTTACACTACACTCGGGCGGGCCTCATCCAAGCAACGGACCAAGCAAGGATGGCTCTGATCCCACGTGCGATAGAATTTGATTAACGACAGATGAAAGGGATTGAATGCAGTTGATCATTGCCATTCCATGGTTGAGGCCTTGCTGGTCACCATTACAGTCACACTGAGATGGTGTTCAGTTCATCGATTGGGATAACATCAATTGGTGATGTGATCACCGTCAGCATCACTCCATTGAGCACTCCCCCGCATTTCATCCAGTCAGAAACATCCCAGTCGGCCAATATGACAAGGTCTATCTAGTCCATGTTCTTCCGGATAAGCCGAATTGAAGCCAAGTTTTTTTGCTGCAGCCAAAGCGGGGAGAAACTGACGCGGCGTTGCTGCAATTTGATTAATGCAGTCGAACCATGCTTTTTGTCCAGGATCAAAGGATTCAAGGTCCAAGAGTCACCATGAAGGAAGATCAATGTGTAACCTTTTGATCATTGTAATCTCGACAGTCTGGCTGGACCAGTGGAGATTTAATTTCTGCAGACTGCGAACGGCCACGGAGATTAAGATCCATAGATCCATCCTCAGATCCACAGACACAGAGTACAACATTGGATGAGGAACAGAATCAAAACCAAGAATCGCAGTTGATCTACTGCCTTCCCAGTATCTTCAGTATCGCATCTCGACGATCTTCTCCTGTTGCGGATGGGGGTAAGAACTGGTCGACGTTGCAGAATTGTTTTTGACACTCGGACTTGAGCCCATCTCCGAAGAGATTATATGGCATTAATTAGATGAAACGCCCCTGAATATTCAACACTTTCTTGAAAAGCATTACCATTGTTAAATATCCTCATCTTCATCTCATATTTATCTTTATCCATCTGACTGTCCATCTACCGCGCTATCCACGCCGTCGTCACTGGCTCCACGACACTTACGCATGCCCCGGCTTTACCTTCACGCTTGGTCGGCCTTTTCTTCGTGACGCTATCTAGCAGCATCTGTTGCTGTCGTCATCTGCTCTGGTCTATATTAGCTTCGGAGGAAACAGTTTTTTTTTATCTTATTTCTCATTCTCTTTTTTTCTTTTTTTCTTTTTTTCACTTTTCGTCTCTTTTATATCTCCTGCCTTGCAGCTGTCCTCTGCTCCTTGTCGCAATCTTTTTTTGCCCCATCGCCAGCCACAAATAACGACGCAATTCTGACACTGTTTATTTTTCTCCGAATCGTGCAGATATGCCTGCTTCGTATCATCGGCTGGGGTGAGATTTGATTCGATTGATATTTAATTACTTCCATCTTTTGCGACGCCCTCGCCTCGACCGTTGTCGACTCCCGGTGTTCTGGTTCGCTTGTCATTGATCGCCGGCGGAGTGTTGCGGAGCACGCGTGCAGAATCTCTACCACTGCCGATCAGCTAGTCTCAGACACCTTTTGTCGCTGTTCACCATGCTCACCTTTCGAAAATCCTTGATCGCAGCATGCTGCTTGATCGCCTTTATCCTCATCCTCCGATCCTCCCACTCCTCGACCCCCTCGAACTCCCCGCCGATCGCCCCCGAAGGCGCCATTTACAATAATGACAATGGAGAAACAGTGGCAGAGCAACCACAAGGACAAACGCAGCAGCAAACGCTGAAGCCTCTCGAGCCTGCTCCGAATGCCCCCCTCCGCGAACGGTTACGATACCATTTCCCCTACGACCTAGAGAAAAAGTTCCCCGCATACATTTGGCAGACATGGAAATATGCCCCCTCGTCCATGTGGTTCGACTCCGAATTGCGCGTTGCTGAAGCCAGCTGGACCGATTTACACCCCGGGTTTGTTCACCAGGTCATTACCGACGATACCCAGCGCCACCTGGTCAAATATCTGTTCGCATCACTCCCGGATATCTTCGAGGCGTACGAGGCAATGCCTCTGGCCGTCCTCAAGGCCGACTTCTTCCGATACCTCATCCTGCTTGCCCGTGGAGGAATCTACAGCGACATCGACACAAGCGCCTTGAAGCCCGCGTCCGACTGGCTTCCATCGCAACTGGACTTGTCGACGGTCGGGTTCGTCGTGGGCATCGAGGCTGACCCCGACCGCCCCGACTGGAGTGACTGGTACTCGCGTCGAATCCAATTCTGCCAGTGGACCATCCAGTCCAAACCGGGCCATCCGATCCTGCGCGACATCGTAGCCCACATCACCGAGGAAGCCCTGCGCATGAAGAAGAAAGGTATCCTCGCCAAGGGCAAGATGGATAAGACTATCGTCGAGTTCACCGGCCCCGCGGCCTGGACGGACGCCGTCTTCCGCTACTTCAATAACCCGGATTACTTCAATATCGAACCGGGGACGACGAACGTCACCTACGAAGACTTCACCAACCAGGTCGAACACAAAAAGGTGGGTGATGTGGTTGTCTTGCCCATTACCAGTTTCAGTCCTGGTGTTCAGCAAATGGGGGCGCAAGATTATGATGATCCCATGGCGTTTGTCAAGCATGATTTTGACGGTAAGCTTCGCCTTCTTTCATATTAACACCAGGTGGATAAAAAAAAAGCTGACAATCTACTCCAGGATCATGGAAAACAGACCCATCGCTTTAAAGCATACAAAAACATCCACGATGTAACAAATCGATCAATCAAACAAGGGCATCAGGCCAGTCAGCGGAAACATTTAAATAGCCGCACCCAATCTAAAGCCTTACAAAGTCTCGTTCCATTATAACCGATGATGGCTACGTCCTTATACCACTGCACTGTCCGTATCCCGAAACTTGGGAGATAGTCCTTATCTATATAAGGCATCCACCTAGTCAACGCCACTAGGCAAACGGCAATTATTATCCCGAATTGTACCATCATTACAACCAAAAGCCATCCATAACATCAATAGCAAAAGCAACAGCTACGAGCTACGGCCCCGAATCGAATCGAATCGACTCTCTACCTATCTACCCTTGAATCCTCACGTCTATGACAAAAGAAAAGGTCCTACTTATGAGAATGTCATGAATTTCCTGGTTTTTTTTTTTTTTTTTTTTTTTGTTCAGTCATCTTGTTTTGGTCTTTTTTTTTTCTCTCTCTCCTTTCTACGGAGTTATTGTTTGGAATAGAATACCAATACCAAGAGTGGATCAGGTGAACGGGCTTTCCTTTGGTACTTTCATGTACTGAATGAAATGGACTATGGATAACGTCACGTTTTTCCTTTTTTAGCCCTTACGAGGAGCGGAATGGTTTCCGCTTCATCTGCAGGGTTTTATAAACATTTTTTTGTGTTTTCTTCCTCCATAGTATAGTATACGGTTTAGATTTTTGTATAGATATAATGACAGGTAATGAATGAGCATTATGAAGATCCGGTCATGATTTCTCATATATCTTCAAATGAGCCCGAAACCGTAATAAGCAAAAGGCGTAAGACAAGAATAAACAAGCATTCGTTTTGCATCATTAATATATAAACGTAAGTTGTTTTCCAATCTCAAATGTGTATACAACACAACTCGACTTGCCTCCCAAGATACAGCTGTCGATAACGTATGCGCGTTTAGTAAAGGCTCGAACGGATAATGAAAAGAATATGTCAGAAATATATCAATATATAGACTATATGTATTGGCACAGGAAAAGGAAAGCATTCGACGTCTCCCCCGTCGCTAGGTACCTGGGTGGGAGGCGAATCCACGAGGCCAATAGAGACAATGGACGGCAGGAGTGTGCTCGCTTACAAGGTGCAGAAATAGACATGTAAACATGGGAAACCATGGCAAGAGGTCCACGCGAGTGTGACGTGACGCATGTGATAGGATAGGTGATCATCAAAAGTCGTGCACGTAAAATGTTGTTGAAATAGATCAAGCCGTGACCTACTTAGCAGCCGACCAATTCGAAATTATGGCGCCGCCAGTGGCCGTATCACAGGCGGGATGAAGGGTTGAAGTCCCGTTGTACAGGCTGTGGCGATACTACCTTTTTGGTTCCCTGGCAGTGCACGCTGCCAGGTATCAGATATCCCATGCAGTTGGGGTTAAGCCATTAGTCCTAAAAGTCACTAAACAAAGTTTCGTATTTCTTCCTCATATCATCGTTATAATGGCTCAGAGTCCTCGAGTCTGGGGGATCCGGGTACTCTTCAAAGTTTCCCGTGTCCGCCGGGTGATCGACTCTGGGGATAATGGGCCCCTTTACACGGCGATAGAATAAATCATCCCAGTTAATGTCTAGGAAAAATGGATGGGACTTGACTCGTGCGGAACCGCCAGATATGTACCCCAGTCGCTCCGTCGGACTGGTCTTGCAAAGCAAAGAGATAATGTTCTGGGCTGCTGGTGACATGTTCTGGGGGAAACGCAAGCGCCCTTCCACAATCTGCTCGTAGATACGCATGGGGTTCTGGTCCCAGAATGGCGGCTGTCCAACCAAAAACTCATAGATCAAGATTCCAAGAGCCCACCAGTCCACTGCAAGGCCATGGCCGCTATTGTGAATGACTTCTGGGGCGAGGTACTCCGGCGTCCCGCACAAGGTATATGTTTCACGGTTATCCACTTGTTTCGCGAACCCGAAATCGACAAGTTTGATATGACCCTCAGCATCCAAAAGAATATTCTCCGGTTTCAAATCTCGGTAAGCAACCCCATGAACATCGTGCAGGAATTCAATCGTCAGGGCTATCTCGGCTGCGTAAAATCTGGATGTGCTTTCGTTGAACCGTCTCGCACGCCGCAGGTAACTGAATATTTCGCCTCCGGGACAGTAGTCCAGCTAGCGACACGTTAGATTGACAAGGATGAAGGATAATGGAGAATTTGTCGGGCTCGTACCAGCATATATAAGCTTTGGTCATCAGAGAACGACGCGATCAAAGAGGTTATGAAAGGGTGACCGGCAACAGCGGCGAGTGTCTTCCGTTCGTTGCGTACGTGCTCGACTTGCTTCAGTTTGATTACTGTGTAGCCGAACCCTTGTTAGTTCCCCGGATTAACAAGCATGCTAGTTCCAATGTATTCCTCACCATCGGCCTTGCGTAGGATCTTCAATGCATAGACCCTATTCCTTTTCTCTCTTTCTTCCTTCAACCTCACTAGCCAGACACGCGCAAAGGTTCCTAAGGGGGTTCGAACAGCCACGGTTAGAGTCTGAAAGGTTTGCGCGAACAGAGACTCGAAACGTACCAGTCCCAAGCGTTCTCAAGAGCGCAAAATCACTAACCCGCAACCTCCGGGATGAAACCCCCAACTGCTTCTCTTCTGGGCGTTCTGTGATAACAAAGGGATTCGATAGTCGGTGTTGAGTCGGCCGGACGGAAGCCACCATTTGCTTTTCCTTCTCATCCGATCCCGCATCGACCTTCCGGGGAGGGACAGACGAGCCCTGCACCTCATTATGTGTCGAAGGTTCGACGGTTCCGGTAGCCATGGCGATGGCAAGAGATCATGTCTCAAAGGACAGCGGGGAAGAGATGTGGGGGGAAATGGACCGAGGAGAGCGCAGCGACAGCAATCAGACAAGTGGTACGTGATCGATTATTATAACGAAATAAGGGGTCCGACACAGATGGAATATAAAGCGCATGAATTGGAGAGATGCCGAACAAACAGGGTGTCTTGCGGGATGAAGGAGAGCTTGGGGAAGATCAGCTCAACCGTTGTTGTAGAGCCCATGGCGGCGCTACGAGTACGGAGGCTCTGACGTTACCGACTGGCGGGGCAGACGCGGCTGGGGGTGGCGTCCCCCATGGAATGCTTAGGGGTGGGATACCAGTCAAGACGGGGATTACTGTCTTGGTTTCATGGATCGCTGATGTTTCTAATATTATCTAGTAAAGATGAGATTATCAAATCACATGAATTGTGGCTGGAACATGTTTCTATCGAACGCAACTGGTGGCCGTATTATTTAGTTCCCAACACAGCCTTTTAACCATATAGATGTTTTCAATAAGGCTCGCATGTCAATCAGCTTCGTTATTATCCAAAAGAATCTACTGGTACAGGAGTTCCATCCCCCCAAAACCCGAAAGAGCTGTGGCATAAGTACAGTAGTTGTTCATAAACAGAGGGGGCGGGTTCCCCCAACACAGTGAGCGCATCATCTATGTCATTTGTATAGGAGAGAAAGTTTCAGAGAAAGTCCCCAGGGGCTGAGGATTGTAGAGGCAGCGAATGATTGAAGGACGTGACGCTTAGCTCTTCTTCGAATTCAGAATCAGACCGACGATAAGGCTTTTGCATGTTAGCATATCCCTATTTAATCTTTCAAAAAGAACATACCCGTAAAGACCGAGAACTTCGCCGAAAATCAAAATCAGGATCATTCCGACATAGACCCGAGATTGTTGCATGTAGGCACGTACACCCTAATGAACTGTGAGAAGACGCAAATGCAAACGGTGTTATAAAGAATTGCTTACCGCATCTCCGACAATTCCGATAGTATATCCAGCGGCCACACCTGCGAGACCCACGGACAATCCAGATGCAAGGTGCATGAATCCTCTGTGAACCGTAAGCATCAACACCACCCGTTGGCCATGTTTTTAACCCGAACGTACGTATACAAGCTGATATGAGTCGGAGGGGGGGCGACATCACCCGCAATAAGAACCGCAATAACGAGACCGTAGACCGCAATAATACCAGACATGACCACGGGAATCAAGGACTATTACAGTCAGTAACGATAACCTTGGCGACAGATGAATCCTCATGCCTTCATGATCAGGTCCGGCCTGAAAGTCCCCACACCCGAAATACCAATACCAGATTTAGCTGTGCCATATGCTGCCCCCATTGCTATCAAAAATGTGAGTTTCTTTCCAATATATCGATCCGTCATCGAGTCTAGGAGCTAAAACGTACATCCGAAGATCATCTTCGAGGGGGAGATATATGTCAGTGATCGGTCGCGGATGGAGGGGAACTCGAGGAACTCACTGCAGCTGCAATGCCAGCCTAATTTCAGTCAGTACAATCCATCATAGAAGTAAAAACACTGTCCAGGAAGTGACGTACAAAGGAGAAGAACGGGGCGAACTTCGGAGCGAACTCGCTTTCCGCCATTGCGAACGACCTCCCACTACACCGCGGATTGTCCTAGATGAAAGAAAAGTCCCAATAAAGCCTCCTGCAGCAAAGCAGACAAAATACCACACAAGTAAATAAAAGAAAGTCGTAGATACAAGCTCGTTGGATGGCGATGGAGTCGGAAGACGCAGCGTGTCTGGCGAAGCTGTCGGATGGCAAGTGTCCCAAGTTGCTCGTCCGGCCCGCCGTAGCGCCTCCTGGCCTATCCGGGTTAAGCCTGACATGTGCCTGTCCAACCCAACAAACCCCCGTGCTTTTCCATCACGGACGGACCATCCTTCACCACCTCCCGTTCATTCCCTCCTCAATAATCTCCTCTCCTCCTCCCCCCC